ATGTGTGTATGGATTGGGATAACAGTTGTATGAGCCCCTAATAAAATGTTAAAAAAAAAAAGAATTAGAACAAAAGAAAAAGAAACATTTAGAATGATCTATATTATCCAAAAAGGTTCAAATACCAGAAATCTGAGGAAGAATGATTTCACTTATGAAACGGATTAAGAAAAGTTAGACATTCTCTCATGTACTACTGCATTCATCATCAATATATACCAGCAAAGCATAAAACAGAAAATATGAAACTATGATTTTACCTTTCGGCTATTGGTGAGAAACAGGTTATGAGCTGAAGCTTTCTGCTTGTTGGCCTAAAATTTTCAAAAACAATATTTTATTAGAATTCACTTATAAGATTATGTAAAATGTGGTTTTATTCAATTCCTAGAGAGTTAGAAAATGTCAAGCCAAGCACCTTTAAGACACACCTACGTATGTCAGCACCGTACATAAAACTACGAAAGCAGTATTAGGAAGAATTAGCTAGTGTTGTGCTTAAGAATCCTCTGTACACCTTTGTAAAGAATTCAAGTTATCTGTAAAGTTTGTAACAGACTAGGAAAATGTAACCACATACCCAGACCCTGGCTCCACCTGATTGAAATACACAGCTTTCCAAGCCAATCTGCATTGCAGCTGAGCTAGCAGGCACCCAGAATCCTTAGGAGGTCCACAGCCTCGCCTCCTCATTTATGATTCCAGCTCTACCTCGCATTCTGGGCAAACCTACTGCTGCTGCCACTACTCAATTCCTGCCACCATGCATGTCTCCTCGTCAACAACAATTCTGAGGGAGATCTAACAGCAGATTGATTCAGTAGTTGGCAACCCTGTTTCCAAATCATTGTGTCTTTAAAACTTAAAAAAAAAAACAAAACAAGCTCAATAAAAATAAATGAATTTTCTGAGATGATCCATTTGACATAAGAGAAGACAGAAAGCAGAGCTAAGGGGCTTTCTGGCTATTCCATCCTCTCCTAATTCTTAAGAAATAATAGATTCAAAACAATACACGGGGCCCGACTGTCATAACTAATATGTTTTCACATCATTTTCACATCTGCTTAAGAGGTTTTTTAAAAAAGTCAGTTTCAATAACTTACTATTGCAAACGCTTAAGCAGTTATTGCCATTAAAAATTTTTTATTGGGGTTCTTACAGCACTTATCACAATCTATAATTCCATCCATTGTGTCAGGCACATTTGTGCATATGTTGCCATCATCATTTTCAAAACATTTTCTACTTGAGCCCTTGGTATCAGCTCATTTCCCACCTTCTTCCCCCAACTCCCTCCCTCATGAACCCTCGATAATTTATTAATTATTATTTTTTCATGTCTAACACTGTCTGATGTCGCCCTTCACCCAGCTATTGCCATTTTAAAGACAAGATTCTCAAATATCCTAGCTGAATATTTATTCCTTGTCATCAAAAGCTTCTATACCAGCTACTACAAGTTTTCCAATAACTTTTTCATCGTGAATGTTCATAAAGAAAGTAAACTGTCTCCACAAACCCTTATTGATGACTATGGGGTAAATGGCAATCTTACAGTGGAGAAGTACAATGTTACCAAAGGACTGGAACTAACCCAATTCACTGCTGTCAACTCCATCGGAACCCAATGATCACTGAGAAAGCAGGACTGCTCCACAGAGCTTTCTGCAGCTGCAAACTTTCGTACACGTATGCTCTGGTAGTGCAATGGTTAAGCACGCCACTGCTGATCACTGCTTTGAACCTATCAGTCACACCTAAACAGAAATGACCTGCTGGTCTGTTCCCATAAAGACTTCAACCTGGGAAATCCCATAGGGTAGTTCTATTCTGTCCTGCAGTCACGATAAGTCAGACAACGCGTAACAGCAGCAAAGGCAAGATACAGAGGTACAAAGAGAATGGTAAAGCAACTGAAGCAAACTGCAAACCATTAAGGGTTTATGTTCCCCCCTAAGCTGAGAGGAAGCCTCCAAAGGTTTAGTATCAATATTTCTAACACCATAAAACAGCTTATTTATATTTCTACTAGAACTGTACTTTATTTTCGAATTTACAATGAGCAATGTATAAACAGCTGTACTATTCTTGCAACTTTCAGCCTTAAACCATCAAAATAAAGTGTTATAAAACTAATGAACACATCACATTTCCTTCCATTCATTCACTTCAATCTACTAATTGTGATTATTCAGAAACATCCCAATGTTTGTATATTCTCTAAGAAAATTATCAACTCCTTTTTATTTTAAACCCTGTTGTCGCTCCCTGATGATTTGCAAACAAAATGACATCGCTATGCATAAGAACACGTTTTTTCTTTCTCAAAGGTGTTTCCCTCCATTTTTCTGCCACAGGCACATTACACAAGTCCCAAGTATCTTATGAATTGACTCAGTTCTAGAAAAACAGCTAATTAGAGAAAATACTATTCTACATTCTCTTAATTCCAACAGATTAATTTCCTGTCTGCAATGTTGATACAATTTCCTGAGGCACCCATCTTCATCGGCAGGAAAACATGCGCCCCATCCACTGAACCGGAGGCATTCACTCACCTTCGGCAGTTCCTTTTTCACAATGCTGAGCCAAACTTTCCTGCGACGAGCATTAAGCTGCTCAATGGATAAATGTTTCTTCTTGGTGCCAGGGGGAGGTGCATCATGAGAGAACTTGGCAAAGACTTTGGTCTGGTGGTGGTGGAGATGAGGGGATTCCTCAGAGGAAAGTTCTTCATCTCTTCGCCGTTTTTTCTTCACTTTTTTAAACTTAGCTACAAAAAAAACAAAGAACAGATGCTTACAAGGTGGCATTATTTCCCACAAAACAATGGTTCTTCCTCATTCCAACATAGTGAGAGCGTTTATCCTTTCATCTGCTCAGGCCCAAGAATATTCCAAGAAAAAGATCTCGCTACCATGGAAAAGAAAACTGGACACACACTTGGCTAACCAGAAAGAGAAGTCAAGAATGAAAGCTGAAAGCGAATGTCTGCTGAGCACAGTACGTTGGAGGAAATGTGGGATCTGGTGATGCAAGAAGACAGACCCCGAAGGTGCTTCAAGAGACTAAGGGAAGAGAAAAGTTGGACTAAATTATATGACATTAAGACTCTCCAAAATAAAGTATTTGATTATATTGACTTTGGAGAAGGTTGTGAAAGATGAGTAAGAAGCCTCGGCTACTACCCAAAAAGGTCAGAAGTTCAAATCCAACAGCCAGATATGGCAGCTGACTTTGATAAAGATTAAATACTCAGAAACCCCATGGGGCAGTCCTACTCTGTCCCAGGGTGTTGCTTTCAGTCCAATCAACTTGATGGCAAAGGAGTTTAAGGTGGTGGATGAGGAGACGAGAGATATAAAACAGATGATAAAAAAGGATATAGGGCAGTGGTTCTCAACCTTCCTAATGCCGAGACCCTTTAATACCGTTCCTCATGTTGTGGTGACTCCCCAACCACAAAGTTATTTTCATTGCTACTTCATATCTGTAATTTTGCTACTGCTGTGAATTGGGCGACCTCTGTGAAAGGGTCGTGCAACCCCCAAAGGGGTTGCGACCCACAGGTTGAGAACTGCTGGTCTAGGGGAACAAGCCATTGTGAGTAGAGTTCAGGCTTTCAGGGGAATAAGAGCTGCCTTATACCGACAGTTTACAGCTTTTCCTTGCTATTTCCTCCCAGACTTCCAGCTGCTTACAGCTAAGTCCAGAGGAAGAGGCATGCATTTCCTGGCAAACATGTAACCAAGCCCTACAAAGGATTTTCAGGAGGCGATTCATTTTAAATCAACTCACAGCAACAATCACATCCTATTCCAAAGACTTAATTGGCCTAAATCTTTGGTTAGGCATCAATAGTTTTTATGTCTTTCTAAATCTAAAAACAGCTATAAACCAAATATGAAATAAAGTAAATAGTACTTACTGCTAATTGGACATAAGAGACTAGGACTTTTCAGGTAACAAAACAAAAGGTCTATTATTCAGATTATGTTCATAGTCTGAAAGCACCAGCAAGCCATATGTGATCCAGAATGAGTAACAGTGAAAAAGGCAAGTCAACAGGCTCACCTTTAAGTTTCTTTTCCTCCTTGAATTTCTTTTTTTTGGGTCCAAGTAGGAGCCGTTGCTGCTCGTAGAAAGGATCATATGTAGAGAGCAGGCCTGCACTGTAGTACTGGTACTGCTGCAACTGAAGCAGGAAAGACAGAGACGCTTAGAAGGGTCTGTGTTCCGCAGAAAGCCTTCAGGGAAAATCATCGTTACTATAGGAAGCTGGGTCAGAGAAAAATCCAAGCTCTGAAACACAATATACTTCTGTCAAAAAGATGGATCGGGATTTCGCCTATCAATGTATTTACTTGGTTTCCAAGAAAACTGTTGTGTGGCTATGCACATGGAAGGAACTCAAGAGAGAACCATCACATTTCCCAGTTCCCATTGGAATTGTTTACTCAGTCCTGGCATGCGTGTGAGAGATCAACTCACTGCAGAAAGCCTTTCCTTCTTGTGGAAGTTCATCACTAATAAATAAACGATATGTCTATGAATAGGTCCTCAGAGGTACTAAAGTTCCTGATTCTGGCTTTTGGTCTTATATTCAAATCTAAGAGTGACTGATTGTTATGAATAAAATTGTGTTCCCTAAAAACATGTGCTATAAATGCTAACTCTTAAACTTTAGATGTAATGTCATTTGGGAACGGGAGTTTGTTATGTTAAAGAAGCCATGTCAACATAGAAACTTACACTTACCATTCCTGAGCTATAACAGAGCTGATAAGGCACAGAGGCAAAATGAAGGAGAAAGAAGTCTCATCGAGATCATAAAAGAATCCAGGAACAGAAACTGAAGCGAGACGATGACTTTCCCCAGGGGCTGACACAGAGAGAGAAAGGCCTTGGCCTAGAGCTGGTGCTCTGAATTCGAACTCCTACCCTCCTCAACTGTAAGAAATACATCTGCTTGTCAGAGCCACCACATGTGGTCTTCTGTTATAGAAGTACTAGGAAACTACGACAACAGCCAGCCCAATGATCTGATCTCTTCTTCATTTTTCCCTGAGAAGAGATTCCACCGATATGGATAGTGTCTAAAACCTACTGCCATCGAATTGAGCGTGACTCAAAGCAACCCTATAGAACAGAGCAGAACTGTCCATAGGGTTTTCAAGACCAAAATCTTTAGGGAAGCAGACGGCACATCTGTTTCCCATGGAGTGGCTGGTGAGTTCAAACTGCCGATCTTTTGATTAGCAGCAAGACACGTAGCCATGGCATGGCTCGAGAGTGCCTAGGGTTGCCAAAATTCTAATACATGAACAACCACACTTCCCCCTGTGCTGTTGTTGCTGGGTGCTGGCTCAGAACGACCCAAGGTGACAGAGTTAGACTGCTCCATGGGTTTTCTCGGCGGTCATCGTTACAGGAGCAGATCGCCAAGTCTTCCTCTCATGCAGCCACTGGGTGGTTTGGAGCCCTTTGAAGCCCTAACCTTTCAGTTAACGCCCACCATGTCACCAGGCTCCCTTTTCCGCCCTAGATAGGGAGTCGCAAATCATTCACCTATTTTACTTAAATTGATCCCCCAAATTCACATAAATTTTGTCTCACTTATTACTAATACACAAATGTGATTGTAAACTAAAATTAAGTAGTCCACTATTAAATCTCTTTCCTGGATTTAGCCAAATGAGTTGTCCAAGGGCTAAAACCAGGAGAGTTACAGAGAAAACTTTTTAAGGTCTTCTGCCCAGTCAAAACTAAACGAATATTCACCAAACAGTATAATTACAATTCAGGCTTTCTGATATGTCCTTTTACTGCACTTAAAAGAATGAGCACACACTTCAAGCACCAAGTGTTTGGGATTAGATTTTAAAGAGCAACTCTTTAAACCTGAATCAGAGAGCTTACTGTTTATTTCTCCTATAGGTCCCCGATGTTTCAGCATATTATTCAAAACTCTCTAAAGTAACTTTAGACCTTAAGTAATACCTGGAAGGTCTTCAAATATGCTTTGCTCATGATGAATAAAGTGATATCCTGATAAAAACCAGAAAGCTTAGGCAACAGCTTTCAAATTGTTCTCACTTAAAACTACCAGCATTCTATTGTTAGTATGTGAAGAGGAAAAACACAACCAACGCACAACTATAATAAAAAACAACCACCAGAACGTACAGTCACTTTGAAGAACAGCTTGGCAGTTCTTCAAAGTGACATAAAGTTACCAGAAGACCCAACAAATCTACTCAGAGGTATATACTCAAAGAGGAATAAAAGTACTAGATCCATACAAAGCTTATACTACAATGTTCATAACAGCAATGTGCACAATAGTAAAAACGGAGAAACATCATCAAGTGATGAATAGTAAAACACAGTGCATTCAGAATTATCAGTTTGGTAATAAGAATGAGTCAAGTGCTATACTATACTGTGGGTGCACCTTGAAAACACTGTATATTAAGTGAAAGATGCCAAACACAAAGGACCATACAGTGTATGATTCCATATGTATGAATTTTTTAGAACAGGTAGATGAGGGTAATTACCTAGGGTTGGGTGTGTGTCGGGGACAGGGGGGAATAAGGAATGACAGATAAAGAGTACAAGGTTTCTTTTAGGGCTGATGAAAATGTTTTGGCATTCGTGATAAAAGTTGTACATCTCTCTGAATATATTGAAAAACCAGAGTTGAATACTTTAAAAAGCTGAATGTTTTGAAATATAAATTGAATTATAATAAAGCTGCCATTAAAACAATAACAATCACCACCATTTAGATCTAAAGTTAAACCTAAAGTTAAAATAGGGTATGTTTAATGAATATAAGCCAAAAGGTATGCATTCCCAGCATGAAGGGCTGAGGCTTCTCCTGAAAGTCTCACCTCCTTGTCTTTACTATACTTATTCTGGTGAAGCTTCTTATATTTGTGCAGTCGCAGCATGTTGTGAAGTTCCTCTCGGCTGAGATTCAGTTCTTCGTCATCGTCGTCATCATCATCATCATCTTCTTCTTCTTCTTCATCGTCATTGTCCTCACTTTGAGAATCTGCCTCACTGGACTCGTCACTTAGCAGAATGCTCTAAGCAGGGAGGAAATGGAAATAGAAGTTCTACTAGGAAACAACCCCTTTTATAATCTTAACTCCTGCCCCCCATCCCAAAATAATGACAGAAACAGCTGAGGGCCAGACATTCCAGGTTCCCTGACACTGCTATGCTTTACCAGCTCAACTGAGAACAATGAACACCAATGAAACCTGTCACTAGGAGTTGGAGTCGTCCGTGACAGTGGCTTGTGCACACATCACAGGGCATTAAAACAGGGGCACTGCTGTAAATAGCAACAAGGCTCTAGTAATAAGGCTTTTAAGTATTTAAAATACACATAAGATATTCTATTCTAAAGAAATGTTAAATATCAAGGCAAAACAAAAAACAGCTATGTTTATGGGGCTTTGGTGTTGTAGCCCCAGAGTCAGCAGTGCTAATCCACAAGTTGTGTCAAAGGAGAAAGACCGGGCTACCTGCTCCTATAAAGCTCAGTCTCAGAAACCTACTCAAGTGTCGCTCTGAGCCAGAACTGACTCGATGACAGCAGGTCTTTGGTATTTATAAGCTATAAGGGAGGACAGAAAACATGATGACTAAAGGGAAACGATCCAAATACTCATCAGCTGATGAATGAATAAAAATAATGTGGCACATCCATACAATAGGTTATTATTCACCCATAAAGAGAAATGAAGTATGGATACATAACATGAACTCTGAAAACATTCTACTGAATGAAAGACAACACAAAAAGTGACATGTGATATCATCCCATTTATTTCATTTTCATAATTGGCAAAGCCATAGATATAAAAAGTTTAGTGATTTCAGTGCCAGAGGCTGAGGTTGAAGGAGAATGGGGAGTGACTTAATAGGTAACTTTCTTTCGGGGGGGCGGGGGGGAAGAGGGGGATCGTGATAAAAAATGTTCTGGAATTAAGATAGTAGAGATGGTTATATAGCTTTGTGAATATTTTAAAAACCACTGGATTATACAATTTTATGATGTGAATTATCTCTTTTTTTTTTTTCAATGTGATGGCTAAGTGTAAAGATTTCTGAATTCCCAACAGCCTATAAACCTCAATGAACTGAAACAGATTAAATATTTTACACTTGAGTTTTTTAAAAGGCCTAGAATAATCAAATCGCACCTTTAAATTACTTAGAGATCTTCATAAGAAAAATATAAAATAGCTTTATCTTCCGTCGGCTCTGAGGGGAAGGTGAGCCTCGAGCAATCTCAAGTCTACACCTGTACGCTGAGGTAAACGCATACTTAAATATTATATGGTGTCTGAACATCTCATTTGAGGCACTAAGACATCGACTTGAAAAGAGCCCCCGTCAGAGCAACATGAATTCTGCAAAACTTGAAGCAAGAACAAACATCAAATTTATGGTGAAGCTTGGGTTGAAAAATGGTGAAATCATTGATGCTTTACAAAAAGTTTATGGTGACAGTGCCCCAAAGAAGTCAGCAATTTACAAATGGATAACTCATTTTAAAAAAGGAGATGATGTTGAAAATGTAACCTGCAGTGAAAGCCCATCCACATCAATTTGTGAGGAAAAGAAAAATTGTGCTCTAATTGAAAAAGATTAAAATTAACACTAGTAACAATAGCCAATACCAGAAAAATAAAAGGAAAAAAAACAATAGCCAATGCCATAGGCATCTCATTTGGTTCAGCTTACACAATTCTGACTGAAAAATTAAAGTTGAGCCAACTCCTCTCCAAAACTGTTACACCCAGATCAGCTGAAGAAAAGAGCAGTGCTTTCAATGGAGATTTTTAATACGTTGGATCAAGATCCTGACGCATTTCTTAGAAGAAATGAGGAAATGAGAACAGTCAAAGTAATGGCTACCAAGAGGTGGAAGTGTAAGAGCTGACGGTCCAGTCAATTGCATAGGTTATGGGGACAGTCTTTGGAGTATTCGAGGCATTCTGCTTGTTGACTTTGTGGAAAACCAAAGAATAATTTTTTTTAAACTCACTGCCATCGAGAGTTTATTCCAGCTTATCCCAAGTCAACATGAGGATGACTATGAGTCAGAATCTTCTCTAGGACAATGGATTTGTGTTTTGTTTTCTGGTTTTTGTATGCGAGTATTCAGAAAGCCAAAATACTGCATTGACCTGGTTAAATTCCTGTGACCCTCAGTTACCTAGGATGGACTAAACAGCTGATAGCATTGTTTGCAAGTGTGTATTGAACTTGATGGGCCTTCTATTGAGAAAATGTATATTTTTTCATCTTGTAACTCCATTTTTTTTAACTTAACATTTGTAAGTCTTGTATTTAAAAAATAAAGATATTTGCAATAAAGAAAAAGAAAAATATAAAATAGAGAAAGAACTCATTTTAATATAAAGAAACGTATCCTTAATTCTGTTTGGTCACCAATCTTATCTAAATATAGAGATAATTCTCCAATGACTTACCAATGACCTAGCTCATGTGAACGAGTGTAATTGTCCCCTGGGGTTTTCTAGGTTGGAATCTTTACAGGAACTTACCACCAGCTTTTCTCCCATGGAGTCTCTGAGTGCGTTTGAACCACCAACCTTTTTGGTTTGCATCCAAACCCTTAACCATTGAATCACCAGACCCAAAAGCCATACCCATTGCCATCAAGTCCATGATGACACTTAGCAACCCTACAGAACAGAGTAGAACTGCACCACAGGATTTCTGAGGCTGAAATCTTCATGGAAGTAGATTGCTAAGTCTTTTTCCCAACCAAGTGCTTAACCACTGTACCACAAGGGCTACTTAAATTTCTAAGAGTACAGAGATTACACTATTCCCTTGCTTGTAAACACTCCAATGGCTTACCATTTAACTAGTGTAAAATCCAAGACCTACAAAGCCCTACGGCTCTCTAACCTGAACTACCACTGCCCTAATCCATTGCACTGCAGCCACCAATCAACTTTCTCTCCCAAATATAAACCATGCTTTCTTTCTCAGTGTTCCTTCTGGTTGAAAAGTTGATCCCTTTAGAGAAGCCATCCATATTTATGTATAGAGAGGCTTACTACATTAAAATGTAAGCGCAACGAGCAGGAACTTTGTTTACCTGTTCACTGATTTATCCCCAATACTTATGATAGTACTTAAATGGCAGGATGTGCTCAGTTAGCATTTTCTGGATGAATGAACTATTTGGGGACTCATAAAAATGGATTTACATTCCTGATTAAAATGTGAGTCTCAGAGGGCACATATCTAATCTGCTACATTTTTCTATAGTCCTCCAGTTTCCTTGTGCTTTGTACTCAACAAATGTTTGTTAAAATGACATTGAGTCCTCCATATGTTCTCTGTAATCTCTCAAGAACATCATGTCCAAAATAAAAGATGTATATCTCGAAATATCTACATCAATCTCCAAGAATGAGTCGGTAACTTTTCCTTTTATTACAAGATTTAGTATTCTATTTGGATAGGAAACATTCTGCCTTCTCTCTTACCTTTAACCACTTTCTGCTTTTCTTCAGCTTAGAGAAGTTATATAAATTCCCTTTGTCAGATTTTGAATCTGTATAAAGAAAGAAAGCATGAAAGTGAAAAAGATGACAACACCAGAAGAGAAAAAGCGCCAAGAGGGAGCTCACACAGCACTGACCTGACTGCAGAACTCCATTCAGAGAGTACGCATTTAACATTCCAGAACTGCTCGCTCCAGAAGTCTCACCAAGCAATGAATTTGGAGGTTCCTCCTTCACTTGCATTAAGGAATCCCCAGACTGGGGCAGTAAAGGGTTACTGTCCTCCAGTCCATCTTCGCTGTCATCACTATAAAATTTAAAAACCGGTGAGTCCTCAATCACATCTGACCCAAAAGAATATTTAAATTTAAGGTTAGCAGCATGAAATACTACAAAGTAAGCCGATCTTTTGAATAAGTTGATTACGTTTTATTTGAAAGAGAGAGGAAAATAAAATACCCCAAATCATAAGACACTTTAAAATCTACAGGGATGACATTTTAGAAATGGGATAAAAAAATCCATGTTGGAGTAGCATACCTAGAAATATTCCTATTGAAGATGGCTGATGTTTGTCGCAGGAAATGGTCCAATCGGAGGGCCCTCTCCAGGTACTGAAGATAGAGGGGCTTTGCCAGCTCAGTGCAGCCGCCATCGTCCCCGGCATCCAACTCTGAGGCCATAGAACAAATCTGTCTTCATGCACAAAGGCCTCCAATTGCACAGCTGCATAATAAATAGTGAAAGATGAAACACTGGTCATTTCCCCGTTCTTTTGCCCTCAACGAGAGGAGAATCTAGGCTTTTTAGACATAAGACACTGAGAACCATCTACAGAAAGCACATGACAAAGCTCGGCTAAGACAATGCCTCCTAATGCAAACCCAGAAGTCAGAAGGATAGGAAAGAATAAACAGTCATATGTTGCAATGAAAATGCAGGTTACATTATTTTGAAACCTTACCTTAACATTTGTAACCACTTCCCTTTCTCCACACAATTAGCAATTACTCACAACTATGAAGAAAAGCTATCCAAGCCTATACTAGTGTGCCGTTGTAACCTAACAGGGAAACAGGAGCATGTATGCTCAACATCATCTTTAAAATATAAATGCTTCCTTTTTTATTCTGTATTTACATTTACACATGTGATGTATGGTATTATATTTACAAATGAACACTATCTTTTGCAAATAATGTACACATTATGTTTTTGCAAACACTACAACACCTTACATGTTATCTTCATAAGCAAGCTATTATCAGTGTTTGCTTGTTAGTATTTCCAACTTCTATTTCTTCTTCTTTTCCTGTCCCATGGATTTAATGTTACCAGGATTAAACTAATCTAATGGAAACTTCATCTAAGGTAGGCCTTTTCTTGAACCAAGTATACTTGAGGGAGCTCATGTTGGAAATTGGAATCATGATGAAGCCCAAAAGTATGAATGCACAAAGAACTACTATTAAGAACAAGATGTTAATTATATTTTATTGCTTTCATAAATCTTAAACTGACACATAATTGTTGGTAATCAATGTCTTTGAAATTAAATGAAAGTCACTAAAATGTGTTTTCATTTTAAAATAAGCCATTTTAGTTTATTCGTTATCATTAGCACCACCATCCAACTGATAGACCTCTTCAAAGTCCAGTCCAACATCACTCTCATCATTGAAATAGCTCAGAGCTGCCTGCACACATTCTCCTATGACTTCTGAAATGATGTCATCAGCATCACTCCACCAGCACTTTCACGTACCCTGCTGTCACGCAATCCCAGCCTTCTTGAAGCTTCTGTGGATAGTATTTGGGGCTGTTTTCCCCTATGCAGAAATACCCACTTCCATCATTCACGGTGTAAACTCCTGATTCACACACTATATTCATTCATCCTACTTTCTTCTCAGAAAAGTCTTGCAGAGGTGGTTGACTATTGCATCTAATGGCTGCAGCTCGCAGGTAAGGCCATTAGGCATGATTGCTGGATGGGGACCAGTTGAAGTAATATACTTTTGAATGTTTTTTCAACATTTTGTAAAAAACTGACTTTGAAAACTAGTTTAGATTCTTGGAAAAGAAACCCCTCTGACTGTGAAAGTATACAACTGTAGAAAGTGGATGGCACTTCCTCCAACACCTGCTAGTAGAAATACCCTGTGCCTCAGCAATCCTTTTAACCCCGCGTACATGCGAAAGAAGAGTCACAGCACAGATAAACACGCACACCCATGTTCACGATAGCAAAACGACAGCAACAGCCTAAATGTCCGTTGGTGGAAGAATGGATACTGATACGTACACAACAGAACACTACAATTGATGTATGTATGGATTGTGATGAGTTGTATGAGTCCCTAAACGATTAAAAAAAGATTCTCATGTCCTGAAAATTTTATCTATCTACTGTTTCACAACTTCACACTACCATCCATCCCTTTTTATTACAATAGACAACCACATGCGTAAGCAGTTTTTAATCTGGTTTGATTTCACTTTATTCGAAGTGCAAGCAAAGGCTATATGAAGGCAGCTTTCTTTGTGCCCAGTGGTTGTAATGGGTAATGGCTACAGTTTTCATACTTAAAGCATCTATAGTTGGCCAAACTGTCAGAAGACATTGGAACCTCATGCATATTAATTAATTCTAAATAATGCAGAGATGCCGAGTTCAGAAAAATCTTTAGTGACATTTTTGCAGAAGTTGTTGGACTATAATGTGTCTCATTCCTTTTCATGAATTTAGAAACTCAGGTGAAGCCTCCCTTGAATCGGGGCTTCCTCTGTCATTCGCCAGCTTTGTTTTACCTGAATTGCAACAGAAGACCGCTTGACTTTGACTTTGTTCCCTTCCTGAATTCGTTCTAGGGGCAAGGAGCTCTTGCTTGATCCTGGCTTTCTGGATGTTGACGGTGGTCTTCTTTACTGTTCATTGTGGTATTCCTTATCTTTATATTGCTACTGTTTTTTCTTTACCACTTTCTTTTCTTTTTTAAAAAACTTTTATTATTTCAGCTTAATTTATTCCTAAGCCATGAGTTTTTGCTTCTTCAGTTTCTTCCGGGAAATCTTTTTTCCTGTGCAACCTCTTCCTCTGGTTCAGAAACAATGTGTTCCTTCTCAGTCAGGATCATTTCAATGTGGCAGGGGGAGCTCACGTATGGGTTGATCCGACCAAGAGCTCTGTAAGTCAGGAGGCGCATCTTGGGGGCTTGGTTCACCTGGATGTGCTCAATGACCAGAGAATCCACATCTAAAGCCCTAAGTTCAGCATTACTTTCTGCATTTTTAAGCATGTACAGCAAAAATTTAGCGCTCTTTTTGGGCCACCGACCCTGGGTCCAACCCCACTGTTTGGCCTGGGCACACACACTGCTTCTGCAAAGTGACGTCTTTCAAGTATTTGGTGGCTTTCTGGATATGCATACCTTTGATGGCCTGGGCAGTTTCCCGGGGTTCTTGAAGTGAACCTGGAGATTCGACCCTCATGATTTGCAGGATTTTGTAGAATTCTCTGGGTCAAGTGAGTAGCGAACCACTTTGGCAGATCACCTCAGGCTGCTACAGGGAGACCTTCACTTCTCTTCTTTATTGTTTCTGTCGGGTATAGCAGTTTGTGAAGCACAGAAGGAGTGGCATGGAGATAACTGATGCAAGGGTTTGTAGGGAATGTAGGCTGCGTAAGGGGGAGATTTCAGAAATCGACAGTGAAGCAGGAGAGGGAGGGAGCACCAGAACTAAAGGTGATTACACAGCTCCTAATAAAGGTGATGATTTAGTCAGAGGTGGGGTGGGGGGGTGGGGGAGGGGGGGGCCTGTGTCTGAAATTGATTGTGTTAATGACTACAATTCTTCTTGACATGACTGGACGACTGAATTGTGGTTCTGTGGTAATAAAACTGGAAAGGAAAAAAACAAAAAAGAAAGAAAGAATCCACTCTGTCAAGGTGTTCTACAACTCAGGCCGTTTTATCTGGGTCCACTGTGTGCGCAATTTCACTAGTTCATTTTCTCTGGTTCCTTTTTCTCTTTTCAGCAGTTGTAAATAGATGATACTCCAACCTCTCAAATTTCTCAAAGTTAGTGGTATAGGAATTGCATTTAAATCCTAAATGATCCTAAAGGGTTCTAAGATTTATATTTGTGTGCATAATATAACTAGTAACTGCTGGTTCTAATAAAAAGACAACAAAATTCAAATGTAAGGTACACAACAAGTAAGTCTTTTTATTTGTCCTCAGAGAGTCACTGAGATTAACAGAATATAGAGACTGAGATAAGCAAACCCTAACGCAGCTTGGTGGATTCACTTAAGATGATGTGGTAACGTTTTCACCTTCACCTGTTGAGACAAGAGGGTCATGGAGCAGTTTTTCTTTGTTTACTCCTCCGATTACAAGCTAATCATGTCAATCAGATTGAAAAAATTCCTGTTGATAGCTCTCAGTGGCATTTATGCTTTCAATGGACAAATTGTTTTCAAGGTTCCAACTGACTCAAAAGTGGCGGGGATGTAATTATTAATTTAAATTAAGAAAAATAAATGTATAGCTTCAACTGTGTGTTTTCTGATTGCTAGGGCAAATCCAAAAAGCCCTGGTGGTACAGTGGGCTATTTGTTGGGCTGCTGAGTACAAGAACACAAGAACAGCAGCTTGAAACCACCAGCCACTGTGCGGGAAACAGAAGAGGCTGTCTACTCCCCTCAAGATTTACAGTCTTGGAAACCCACAAAGGCAGTCCTATCCTGTCCCACAGTCGCTGTGAGTCAGAATCAACTCAATGGCAGTGAGGAGGTAAATCCAAACTCGATCTGGAACTTCATAACCACGCAAGCAGTAAAAGGAACATTTTCAGATTACTGGATGAGGGTGAACAAAGCCAAAATGTCATATGTGGTATATGCATGGCCGCACCATATTCATTTCTCCACAATGTTGTTATATTTCTGCACACATTATTTATGTCTGCATGCTGTTTGTGGGGCTGGGGGAACCATGGTAGGGATACTGCTAAGAGTATTTTATAATCCCTTGTAAATATGTCCTACTGAGTAAGATTTAGAAATGACTAAGAAAAGTGGGGGACAAGGAGAGCAAAAGAGAGGGGGATCAAGAGAGGGCTAACCTGAGCATTGTCTTCACTCTGTGTGGTTCAAGATGCTGTGACAGGAGGGGTAGAACTATTTTCACTGGAGAAGCCACCAATATGACTCTCCCAACTGCCTTTCGTGTAACGCCTGCCTTCCTTGTTATCTTTAAAGCAGTGGTTCTCAACCTTCCCAAGGCAGAGACCCTTTAATACAGTTCCTCACGTTGTGGCAACCCCCCCAACCATAAAGTTATTTTCGTTCCTACTTCATAACTGTAATTTTACTACTGCTATGAATTGGGCAACCCCTGTAAAAGGGTCGTGGCCCAAGGGTTGAGAACCGCTGCTTTAAAGACTTATGAGAGGTCAATAATAAAAAAGAAAAAACATTAAACATTTCGCCTGTACTCTTGGCTTATAGTGGAGCCACTTAATAAACTGTAATAATTTTTTAAAGCTCATAATGTAACAAGTGATAAGCTTTAAAATAACCTCTAGTATCTTTGAGTTGTTGCCTCTGTTTACAATCATTTTTAAACATTTTCTAATATAATCTTACAACTCAAAAGGCTTTAAAATTCTCCACCAGTTCATCTATAGATTCCATCAAATTTTATCAATATTCCAGCAGGATTTTTTTCTGTTTAAGTTGACAAGCTGATTTTAAATTTTATATAGAAAAAGGGCCCAGGATTACCAATTTTGAAGAAAGAAAATCTCAATGACTTAAAAATATTTTATATATATATTTACTTTAAAAACACTATTACCATCAAGTCAATTCTGACTCATAGCAACCCTTTGAGACAGAATAAACCTTCCCATCAGGTTTCCAAGGCAGTAATCTTTACAGC